GCAATTTTTAAAGACTATTTTATGTCTCAACTTAAAACAAGCCTCTGTTAATGCCCATTCCCCACTAATTGTCATAGGCTTATCTGCATTTTCTAACTACATGCTACAAAGCATACATCTGATTTTGTTAATAAACTTTGTATTTGTTTTAGATGTCTCTAAGAGGTCCTACTCCGCTGACAGTTGTACAGCTTCCTGGAGAGCAAGTACAGGTCCAGGGGGTCATTCAAACAGCTCAGTCCTCTGTAATCCACTCACCCCAGGTGCAAACAGTGCAGGTAACTACATAGTAGGGGTTTTTTAACATACGTGAAAAGACTTATGAAGTCTTATCTGATTGATCTGAACCTACCACAGTGCAGCCTCACTGGCACCATTAGTAAAGTGTGAATTTTTCTAATATAGGGAGGACAACTAGGAAGCCAATTGGTAAATCCAAGCCCTAAAAATTTTCATTTTTAGGTACATCATTTTTATTTAATCACTATTTAGATATTTCATGTTTTATATTGCTCCAAGGTGCCCTTAGAGTTAAGATTGCATTTTAAAACCCTATTTTAGGACTTTATAATTTATTTATAAAGATTTGATTGGCGCTGAAACTTTACGTATATAAGATCCCTGTCCACAAGCTACTTTTTATTTATTGATTTTTGCAAAAATGTGTATGACTTATCAGATACTTTTGTGTGCTCCTTATAATTTTTAAAGCTTCTAATTGATTAACGAAAATAATGTGTGAACTAGTTGCTTTTGATGTTTTGACAATTAGTGTATATGTAATTATATTGTTACATAGTTATATTCCTAGTTAGCATAATATATATCCTGACATGTAGCTGTGTTTTATAATTATATTATGTGTTTTATAATTATATAAGACCCTCATATTTGAGTTATCCCAAACTTCTTGAAATAATAAGAATAAAAATAGTGCAGTGGCAATGAATAGGTGTGGCACAGACTAGATTTGGGGGAATATTGGCCAGATTACCAGGTTTATTTCTGACTCTTCATAAATTGCCATGAGATCTTTAAATTGCACTACAGATAGACAGACAGAACCTCTGGTTAATGTCTTATTTGAAGGAAAGCACTGCTAACAGTTCATCATCCCATGTACCTTAATATCCAAATTAGGAATGAACCAAAACAATCCAGGGGTTAAGATGTGGCTCAAGTCAGCAGACCTGAGTGGTGGTTCTTATTTGTTGAGTGCCAACAGTATATTCTTTGCTGTACAGAATATGACATAATCCTGCCCTATGAGACCTGGATCTGCTGTTCACTCACTGATTTTGAACAAGTCAGTTCATTGTTTTGTGCCTCAATTTCCCCATCTGCTTTTAACAAACACAGTAGGTGTGGGGGAATGGAAAATTTAGCTATCTTCATAAAGCACTTCGGTGAACTTCATGGCCTTCGGGAGACAAAAGAAACATGAGCAACTTTCTCTGAATGTTGATAGCAAACCCCTTTGCTGTGACAGCTAACTAAAAAGTACTTTCCCCAGAGCTATACACATTCTTGCTGACCTTATGTTGCTGGTACAGAGATAAGAATAAATAAAGGAGCTTTGTTTGCTTGTGTTTAATTGGGATCATCAGAGAAAAAATTGACAGTTGCCAACTGGAAAAGGCTACAAATGGAATAAAAAGAAAATTATAGATAAAAACCTCATATAAAATAAAAACTGTTAAGTCCATTTGAGTAGTCTGTACAAATATTCTTGCATATTTCTTCCATGATATGTTGCTGCTTCTTTAAATGTGTTCATTGTCTTCAGTTGACTCTAATTATAAATACAGTACTCTGAGCAACCAAAATACAAGTCTCCACACAGTAAAATTTTATTATTTGAAGTTTCTTTTAAAACCCTCCTCCCTTCTTTTTCTTAAATGGCGCTCCTTCTCCCATTCTCACTTTAACCATGTTTCTTTAAGTGAGGGTGGGTCACCCTTTTCCCCTGGTGTCCTGTTCCTAAAACTCGCTAGCTTTTGCCAGCATTGTAATATTCGTGCTCTGGTTGGTAGCGATAACTAAGGCTACGTTTTAGTCACAGCCTATGACCTGTCCATGACTTTTACTAAAAATACACATGACTAAAACTTGGGCGGGGGGCCACGGGTGCTCTGAAGGGGCCATTCCGGGGGCACCGCAGGTGCTGGGGGAGGTGGCCCGGGACCTCACCTGTGCTGGAGGTGGCTGGGCTGCAGCTCATGGCCTGGGACTCCCGTGGGGTGGAGGGGCTGGGCAGTGGCGTGCGGCTCTGGACCACCGCTGTTGCTGGGGGGGGAGGATTGGCAGGAGCTCCCTACCCGGCTCCGCATCCCTGGCATGGCCCTGCAGCTCCTAGGCGTCCAAGGGGCCGGGGGCTCCACGCTGCTCCCACCACAAGCGCCGTCTGTACAGCTCCCATTGGCTGGGAACCGCAGCCAATGGGAGCTGTGGGGGTGGGGCCTGCAGGTGGAGGCAGCGCGCGGAGCCCCCTTCCCCCATCGGACGCCTAGGAGCTGCAAGGCCATGCCAGGGGGAGTGCCAAGGAG